TGGTCCAAAGAACGACATATATTTCTTAAAATATATTCTCTTACCAGATATTGATCAACTCTCATCATCGGCATGCACAGTTGCTAAAGAAAAAATAACATCACCATTGCAGCACAAAATGAGGTCAAAGCCATGACACAACAAAAACTTATAATAACAAATCCTTTAAAATACCAAATATGTGTACACATGTTAAGAAAGACTAAATTCTGAAAACTAGACCTTGACCATCCAGATGTGAAAATGAGGTCAGGGCCATAGCATTTGTCTGAAATCCACACATCAAATACTTGTTTATCTGTTACTGACAAACAATCTAATCATGAAATCCTTACCTTACCACTGGAGCTTGGAAATGAGGTCAAGGTAAGGAGGTAATGAAAACTTAAACTTAAATGAAAGCAGAAATACGAATCATAAGTTGTTGTATTTATAAACACTCTAATGCTTCTGTTGGAAGAGTAATACCAAAGTCTTTTTGACCTTTGTAACAGGACATACAAAGGTAAAGATATTCTTTATGTATAACAGGCGTGTGGCAAGGAATAAGAAGTAAAACTGAAGAATAATCTGTCAATAGAACTCCATGCCCTCTCATACCCATATTACCATGTTCAGTAATTGCAAAATCTGGGTCAAATCTACCTTGAACTAAAAGTGATATGTGAAAGACAAGACGATCAGACTAACCGACAGACAGTCAGAGGAACAACACAATACCCTCTACTATCTTTGGCATGCATATAAATCAATTTCTATATATACTGTTTAGATATTGATTAATTTTCTAAAATAATTCTCATCAAACCAATTGCAGAGTGACTAGCATAGAGCGGTCAAAATAATTATTAAAGCATTTTTAGGTACCAAATTTCAATATTGCATATTTCCCCCTTATAATGAGTATATTTTATTATCATTATAAGCAATCATTAACACAAATCATCATTTCACTTTTATAATAACTGACTCCAATAAAGATATCACTAGATTAGTCATTACTACCTCTGATTGATTAATTGATAATTGTTTTCAGACTATTGGCCAAAATTACATATGTAACACAAACTTTGCCTACTCCCCTTTTCCATGACTGGAATTTGTTTCCATCTCAATCTTGGTTACTGTCCACTTCCTCCCCTTATGTGCCACTAGTTGTGACATCCTATGCATGTTAGACCATGAGCTGAACAAGGAAAAGGGGGAATGTATTTGTCTGTAATGTTAACAAGAGTGCACACACTGAAATGTCTCGCCTTCTTTACTAATCATTGATATTATGTTGATAGTCCTAAATATAAAGCTTTATTACAACTGTCACATAAACTTAACATTAACCAAGTAAACTAAACATTGACCAATGAACCATGAAAATGAGGTCAAGGTCAGATGAACCATGCTAGGCAGGCATGTACAGCTAACAATTCCTCCATACAACAAATATAGTTGACCTATTGCTTATAGTTTAAGAAAAACAGACCAAAACACAAAAACTTGAACACTGAGCAATGAACCTTGAAAATGAGGTCAAGGAAAAAAAAACCTGCGTGACTGACAAATAGATCATAAAATATTTCCATTAACCAAATATAGTTGAACTATTGCATATAGTATTAGAAAAAAAAGACCAAAACTCAAAAACTTAACTTTGACCACTGAACCATGAAAATGAGGTCAAGGTCAGATGACACCTGCCAGCTAGACATGTACACCTAACAATCATTCCATACACCCAATATAGTCGACCTAATGCATACAGTATAAGAAAAACAGACCAAAACACAAAAACTTAACTATAACCACTGAACCATGAAAATGAGGTTAAGGTCAGATGACACCTGCCAGTTGGACATGTACACCTTAGTCCTTCCATACACCAAATATACTAGACCTATTGCTTATAGTATCTGAGATATGGACTTGACCACCAAAACTTAACCTTGCTCACTGATCCATGAAATGAGGTTGAGGTCAAGTGAAAACTTTCTGACGGGCATGAGGACTTTGCAAGGTACGCACATACCAAATATAGTTATTCTATTACTTATAATAAGAGAGAATTTAACATTACAAGAAATTTACTTTTTTTTCAAGTAGTCACTGAACCATGAAAATGAGGTCAAGGACATTAGACATGTGACTGACGGAAACTTCGTAACATGAGGCATCCATATACAAAGTATGAAGCATCCAGACCTTCCACCTTCTAAAATATAAAGCTTTTAAGAAGTTAGCTAACGCCGCCGCCTCCGCCAGATCACTATCCCTATATCAAGCTTTCTGCGACAAAAGTCACAGGCTCGACAAAAATTATGCAGAGTGCAAGGGAATTATTTCGTTGTTGACAATTTTATGAAAAAAATCCACAATTCTTCCATTCAAAAGGGGTGGGGTAATGTACACTCTCTAAGAGCCATCTTAATATTCGTATGGGTTCAACAATATCTTGTGAAATAAAATATAAGTACAAAGTTTGATATTATCAAGAATTTATTGCAAAATCTAAAAGAGAATAAGAAATGAAATATTGCTATCAAAAAGTGCTTTTGTGCACATAACTATTTACAAACTACTATGTGTATAAGTTTTACAAAGTGCACACATTTTGGTTCACAGATGAACACATGCAAAAATGTGACATATAAACATTCACTAAATATTAAACAATGTTATGACTAGCATACGAGTTAAAGAGATGATAGAAAAGAATATAAAGAAATATTAGTAAAAGTAATATAAAAAAACATGTCTTCCTCCTTTGACTAGCTTATACAAATAAAATAATACAACATATATATGTCTATCTATAAACTGAATATAACTAAAACATTTTATACAGATATAATGAATTGTATTTTGCATCTGCAAATATTCTTTCATTTCACCAGAAGTTTTAAGTGCAAAATGTAATATCATTGTTTAATGCTGACTTTATATATGAAGACTCAATTGAATTGTGCAAATTTATAAAATCTTTCTGGTAGGATTATAAATTTGTATATTCATTATTTGAATCTTTAGTTGTCAAATGATAATTTTTACAACTGTATTTTAGACATTAAATGTTTTCCCTCCCTAGGAACTATAAAACTAATGGAAACCAGTTTTCTTCATACTTTTGAAAACATTATAATTAAACATCCCTGCAAGGACAATTAACAAATGTTTGGATAAATACATTTTCACAAAAATAATGGAAATAGATTTTGGGTATGTTTTTCATGCAATGACTAAATAGATATATATTGAATATTGTAACCCTAAATAACACTTTCCTTGATAAAATAATTCCTTTTGGATTCATTTGTTTTTGTGGGTACTAATTTTTCTGGATTGAAGAAAAAAAAATTTTTGGTGTAAATTTGATTTTGTGGATTTTCTGTATAAGTAATTCATACCTTGTTGAACATTTGAATTCTTGGTTTGCCTCAACCAATGAAATCCACCAAAATTGGTATCCAACGAAATAATAATGAATCCACAGTACATTATATATCCATAATCTTCATAGGCATAACACATTTTATTCAACATAGAAATTTAAAAATAAATCTAACAATGATCAAAATCACTGATATAAATGATGAATGTACTATGATTCATTTGTTTGACATAAAAGAGAAAACCAACAAATAAATTTTCTAAAATAACCGTAATAAAATATATCTGTTAACATAACATTTTCTGCAAGCATCTAGGTATAAAATACATAAAAAGAAAAGCAATTATGACATCAATAGTTCAAGTGTTGCAAATTCTAGGGTCAAGTGTTGCAGATTCCCAAATAGGTATAATGTCTATTCTTAAGAAATGAGTATGAAAGACCTTACTATAAGACAACAGGAATAAATGTATGGATAAACTGTGTTTACCTAATTTTGGTTATGTCTCGTGGTCAGAATTGAATGACACATTAGACTATCAGGTATATCATGTAACAAAATCATTGACAAAGGACGTCTTTGACACATACAATTAAAAAATGTAATAATGAAACTAGATGTGAGCCACTTACTATGAAATCATGATCCAGAATTTGAGAGAAAAAAATACCAGCAGTTGAATTAGAAAAGAAAAGGAAGTCAAGGTTGTTTGATCTGTGTAAGAATCTTTCAGACAACTGTAAATCTAAGAGTTATATGGTTTTTCAATCAATAATATCCAATAAATTTAATTTTTAAGAGTAGCAAGAACCATAACGCTTGTACAGTTAATGACTAATTCATAAAATTAAACTATAAGTATTATATTCCAAGATATAATGTAAAAGTTTCAATACATTTGGTCAAGCAGCACTTCCACTGGTGTCTCCTGGAACAAATGTGTATATAGCAAAGATCATGGTACATAAATATGCTGGATTTACATATTGAAACATAAAGTAAAAAAATACCTGAATAAGAAAAGGATACAAATCTGATGAGGTCCATAATTATGGATGGTCTAGGTAATCTATCTTTTAAATCATAAAGCTTAACCTATAATATATTATAGGGCTGTCATTGCTGTTTGTTAATACTGACTATGTCTATCCTTTGGAAAAATTCATTGCAGGCAATAAACAAGAATATGTGTCCTTTGGACACCATGGCCCGATCACACCATCACAATTCCATGTTTAGTGAACAATGAAATCTTAGTGAAAACCCTAATTTGCCATATATTTTTTAAAGTTCCCATCATCATAATAAAATTGTGTACTCAAGTTGATTATCTACCTTAACCAATCTGTATCCAGATAGAGTTACTATGGTAGGAAGGGAATAAAAAATGATATACCTGGCATAAAATCAATCGTATAAAAAAAATAACAACTTATGCATGCATCTAAAAAATTAGTCATCTTGACAAAAAATTTAAAAAAATGTTCATACACTAATAATTCTAAAATAAAAGGACAAATCATGGTCAACATTTGTCTTAACAATTAGATATCTTGACAAAATTAAAAAAAATGTTTATACACTAATAATTTTAAAATAATAAGACAAAAAGTGGTCTAAAATTTGTCTGAATTCATTTAACAAACTGTATAATTTAAAGAGATAAATGAACTGTTTTTTGATAGTTGTGACCATCAATCTTAAATTTGATGGCTGTAAAAACTCAATTTACAGCAGAGATAGTATATAATTGAAAACAAACAAAGAAAATTTCAAATTTCTTTTTTTATGAAATCTATTATTCATTACAGTTGATTTAATCAATTTCAAATGTATGAATTTTTTGGCTTATGAAAAGTGGTCCTTTCCAAGACACTTGTACCTTGCTTCTATCAAAGCATCTAAAGATATCTATTTTATTGGGATATAAATATATGTTTGCCCAAAGCCATACATTAAACTAAAAACTTCAAGGATAACAATATAAGCTAAAAACTATGACTTTAAATAAAATTGAAAATGGAAACGGTAAATGGTAAATATCTTGTTTTCATACAATGAACTATACACCAACTTATTTTCGCGGCTACTTTGATTCGTGCCTAGCCCTTATAAGCTTACAAATAATTAATTAACATCATTTCAGTGCATGCTAATAGTACATTTGTATACTATGTGAAACAATCTTTAATAATCTACATTCTAATATTAGCACCAATGTGAATTATCCTTCTTTTGTCCATTTACTTTCTACAAATGCTGGTCTCTGGTGAAGAGTTGTTACTGTGATCTGATTGGTTCTGACTGTAGTCACGGTTACTGGTGATGAAGTGTAGGCTGGGATAGATACTGGGGTAAACTGTGTGGTATGGTGGTGGATCAGAATCTTGCTCTGTAAATATTAATGAGAAAATCTAGTTTAACAGTGACAAAATGCAATTGTGAAGTGATTAGATCAAATTTTCAATACTACTGCTGAAGGTAATCCAGCTAAGAAGAAAGAACTAGAGGCTCCAAGGAGCCTGTGTCGCTCACCAAATATTTTGATTAACAATTGATGCATGAAATAATGCAACCGTTATACATTTGCTTTAGTTTCAGAAATATAAGTCAAAAACTGTATTTTCCCCCTAAGTTCTATTTTTAGCCATGTCTGACATGTTGGTTGGCAGGCAGGGTCATCAGACACATTTTTTAAACTAGATAGCCTAGTGATGATTGTGGCCAAGTTTGGTTAAATTTGTCTCAGTTGTTTCAGGAGAGAAGATTTTTGTAAAAGATTACAAAAATTTACGAATAATTGTTAAATTTGACTTTAAAGGGCAATAACTCCTTATGGGGTCAATTGACCATATTGGTCATGTTGACTTATTTGTAGATCTTACTTTGCTGAACATCATTGCTGTTTACAGTTTATCTCTATCTATAATAATATTCAAGATAATAACAAAAAACTGCAAAATTTCCTTAACATTACTAATTCAGGGGCAGCAACTCTACAACGGCTTGTCTGATTCGTCTGAAAATTTCTGGACAGATAGATCTTAACCTGATGAACATTTTTACACATGACAAATTTGCTCTAAATGCTTTAGTTTCAGAGATATAAGCCAAACACTGCATTTTACCCCTATGGACTATTTTAGCCATGTCGGCCATCTTGATTGGTGGGCGGGGTCATTGGACACATTTTTAAAACTAGATACCCTAGTGATGATTGTGACCAAGTTTGGTTAAATTTGGCAGAGTAGTTTCAGAAGAGAAGACTTTTGTAAAATTTACGACAAATTGTTAAAAATTGACTATAAAGGGCAATAACTCCTTAAGAGATCAACTGACCATTTTGGTCATGTTGACTTATTTGTAGATCTTACTTTGCTGAACATTATTGCTGTTTACAGTTTATCTCTATCTATAATAATATTCAAGATAATAACCAAAAACTGCAAAATTTCCTTAAAATTACTAATTGAGGATCAGCAACCCAACAACGGGTTGTCTGATTCATCTGAAAATTTCAGGGCAGATAGATCTTAACCTAATGAACATTTTTACCCCACCCCCTTCAGATTTGCTCTAAATGCTTTAGTTTCAGAGATATAAGCCAAAAACTGCATTTTACCCCTATGTTCTATTTTTAGCCATGTCAACCATCTTGGTTGGCAGGCGGGGTCATTGGACATAATTTTTAAACTAGATACCCTAGTGATGATTGTGGACAACTTTTGTTAAATTTGGCCCAGTAGTTTCAGAGGAGAAGATTTTTGTAAAAGTTAACGGACAACGGCAACTGACGACAGACACCAGACGCCAAGTGATAAGAAAAGCTCACTTGGCCCAAAGGGCCAGGTGAGCTAAAAATCAACATATAAAATGAAACTCCTCCCAACCAAAACAACTCATACAATGTATGTTCTATAGGTAAAATCTCTGCAGGTAAATTGTTTGTAATATGTATTCAGCATGGCGAGTTGACAGTAAGGAATTTCACTGAAATCCAAATAGGCAAGAGATAGAGACAGATAAGCACAAACAGTAGAAAAACAATTTAAAAAGGTGTGTCATATCCTCTTCATGTTTTATGTATAATGAGAAATTGATGAGTGTGTCTAATATTTGTCATATCTGTTGAATCTATTCCATGTTAATTCAGACTTTGAATGACTGATTTATAACATGGTCCGTATCCATGAATAAAGGCCTTACTGTGTCTTCCCTGGTTAACAGGTTGTTGTGTTTCTGTTTCATTGACATATAACAAAAGCCTCTTTTTATTTAAAACATTATGGTCGGATTGGAAATTTTGATATTCCATTTATTCATGATTCACTTCTTTTGAATTTAAGAATTGAATGCTTCTTTTTATAATTTTATTGGGGTGTAAAAAAGTTGACGGAAGCACATTTTGTATGAAGCACAAAAGGGCTTCATATTAAGAACGTGTGCACCATCAACTATTTTACAACCCTACAAAATTATAAAAAGAAGCATTCAATTCTTATAATTACATTTTTATGCTACAACCATGAAATCAAAAGTAATATCAAAGCTTTTCGTTTGTTTTTCAATGCATTATTCAAGCATTGTTACAGATAGCATGTGCAGTCATAGATGTTGTATTTTATACAGATGTAAAATATGATCTTGGTTTGCCTCACAAAAAATTTAAGTTGGAATATCAATAGAATCATACCAAATTATCAAAATACAGTAAAAATCCTGCCTTTTGTAACTCCTCTTAAAACTTATATGATGGCCAGAGGCAGATTTAGGGGGGCCCGGGCCCCCCTTTTGTGGGAAAAATTTGATTGATTATATAGGGAATCACTGAAGCATGACTGGAGCGGGCCCCCTCTTAGGCAGTCAGTGGTCCCCCACTTATGAAAATTTCTGGATCAGCCACTGATGACCTACCCCGTATGTGGGAAAAATAGTTTCAAAGCATGTATTAATGTTTTGAATAGATAGTATTGTCATTCAAGTTGGTGAGCAATAGACATAAAATCTGTTTTTTACACATTAACATGTTTCCCCCTAGCAATTGTCTGCATTTATAATTAAATCAATTAAGTGACCTGTACATCAAATTTGTTACACCTTAGAAAAATTCCCCCATTGCTTTGTAACTGTGCTATTTTTTTCATCAGGTGACAGAAAACACAAAAAAATATTTTTTGGCCAAATCAAAACAAAATAATTCTAAAATTATCCTGTGGTAATGACAGCTGATTTTATAATTTAAGCATATTTCTGTGCAAACTTACCATACATTGATGATTTACTTGGAGAGTCACACATGGATGACTTGCTTGGTGAGTCACTTATAGATGACTTGCTCGGTGAGTTACTGATTGACGACTTGTTTGGTGAGTCACTAGAGGAATGTTTTTTAGGTGAGTGTTCAGGTGTTTCATAAGGTGAGCATCTCTCTCGACATATCTGGGACTGTCTTGGAAGACTTGAAGATCTTCTCAGAGGTTTAACTTTATATGCTTGTACTTTTTCTTTAGCCCTTTTTACAAATGCTTGGGAATGGAGTGCACCTGAAAGGAATTATGCATATCAAGAACAGTCATGAATTCACATACAATACAGTTAAGTGGAAGATTATTTTTTTATAATGTCTTCACATTGTGTTTGAATTACTGGGACATAAAATGAAGAAAATCCAAGTAGTTATTTATATCAAAATGTTACACACTGTGAAAAAGAACAGAATTTAATTTTTTTTTACCTATGAAAAAGACCTGAATGATTTAGCAAATATGTAAATTTCAATACAAAGGGTTCAGCCAATTTTGATGTAAATAAGATTTTAAACAGAAATAAATGGAGAATGTGTCCATGGGACACAGATGATGCCCCTGCTTGCATATAACATTATACAGGGGCAAAGCTCGGTAAAAGTGACGCCACCAAAATTCGAATTTGACCTGTGTTTTGTGGTAATAAACATTGTGTATAAGTTTCATAACATTTGGTTGAGGCAAACTAAAGTTAGAGAACGGAAACCAATTGCGGGACGTACATACGGACAAGGGTAACACTTAATGCCCCCTCCGGTGACAACAGGGGCATAAAAAATTCTTAAAACTTATTTCTATTGATGTTCAATTTTAGAGAAGATTAAAAGAAAGTCAACTTTGCAGCCAAACTTCAAGTGCTTAAATCTACATAAATACCAAGAACACTATAGTATACTCATGTTCAAATTTGTTCACAAACCTGTATATTTAATTTCTTCAAGATTCTGTCCATGTACATCAGGTATCAGGTTAGCAACATCCTGAAAAAAAGGTATAATTGTGAATACTATATAAACCTTGTAATATTTCTGGTTGCCAATTTAGGGGGATACATTATTCACATGTATTTACTTGGATAACATCTTCATGTAAATAATAATTTTGAATTACCATATACTTCAGCAATCAAACTTACATAGAAAGCAAGTGAAACATTTACCCTTAAAACAATTCCAAATAAAAATCTGTCATTCTAGGAATCTCATATAACTGTTTACTATTAAAGTCCCAGAATTTTAACTTTTTTTCAAAACTATTTAAACACTTCCTTTGAAAAAGGTGACAGGCAAATGAATTTGAAAAATCCTTGTTATTCTGTTACAAAATAGCACATTTCTTCATAAAGTAGCAAACCTTTTATTCTTATACATAAATTGTAGCTAAACTTACCCTTTCTGCCTCAAACAGTATGGAACATTTTTTCCCCATCATCATATAGGCTTCAGATATTTTTGTCAAACCTTCCTTCAAACGTATCATTTTAACTGCTTCATTTTCTCTCACTTTTTCACAAACTGTAAAAAAAAGGACACAAAGTTAAAACACATCTGAGTAAGAATGCTTTCAAGACCCTCATTACTGTAACTGAATTGTTTGAGGATAAATTAATTTTACACCCATGTTAATATTTATATATATATATATATATATATATAATTCCAATTAGATTGTCTCAGTTTTTGTTGTACAAGATTTATCACATATCTGTATTTTTTAACAATATTTGGGTTGTTCTGTATTGGTGGTTTTATTTTTTACATAACCTATCGCTTTTTCTTAACATGGTCAAACATGTGTAACAAAATTCATAAGCTACTAATGACCAATGTATTTATATTATAAAAGAAAGGCAAATGATACCAAAGGGCCATTAAAACTCATAAGTCAAAAATAAAACTGACAATGCCTTGGCAACAAAAAAAAAAGGACCAGAAGACAAACAGCAGTATACAAAACACAAGAAGACACAATAAGTTAGGAAATAAGGATGCACACCAGTATCATCAACATTTGAACAAATGAAATGTTAATGCTAATTCATGAATATAATACAGATTTCAAGTTCTAAAATATTTAGACCTGTATTTAAATGTTTGTTCTATTAATAAAAGAGTCCTATGAAAATCTAGACCCCTTGGTGGCTGCTAGGAATTTAAATGAAAAATTATGCAGTCTGAATTATGTATTGGAACATAAGGACTAAATAATTAAAAACCAATGGTGGCCATATTGAATGCTGGATCATTTCTTGCACAGCATCAATCACTGCACATCATATCATACACATCATTGAACATAATACAACAAAAAATATATGTGTGTATTTAATGTTACTCAACAATCCCTATTTTTTTCTTTTTGAAAATGAATGATTAAGTTATCATTCTTGACACAAAATTCCCATAAATAGACAATGTAATGTTAATTAGAATCAAAAGTATTGTGTAAATAACACAACATATCTTAAGTAAATCATATTGTAATAAGGTATAAGAGTATTTTGATGAAAATTCTACTTTAAGATTGAATTTCTATCTTTGAACTGCAGTAAACATTGCAAATTGTGATCATATGATGACCCCAATCGCTGAACCAGATAAAATAATTAAAACAATATAAAATTGAAAGGACTTTATTCACAGATATAACCATAATAAACAAACATATATTCTTTTTGGCCTTACATTATAGATATATAACATAAACTTACCTTCTAACAAAGCCACATCTCTTGATTTTTGGCCTTACATTATAGATATATAACATAAACTTACCTTCTAACAAAGCCACATCTCTTGATTTTTGGCCTTACATTATAGATATATAACATAAACTTACCTTCTAACAAAGCCACATCTCTTGATTTTTGTGCCTGTGTAACCTTGGATTCAAAGGACATCCTCTCCTCCACAGAACCCTTCTTCAAAATACAATATATATTTGACTCCACATTTTAATGTTAATGTTGGCCTTTCCATTTAAATGATTAAATTCATGTTTCAATCTCATTTAGAGCCTTTTTTTTTATCAAAACAAAGAATTTCATGATTAACAAGGGAGATAACTCAGATAATTCAATTTTGTAAAAGAATGTACATTCAATTTTTCTATTTTGTTATGTTTATATATATATATATATATATATATATACCTACATAAAAAGATAGAAAAGTTTACTGTACATTTGTTTATAAAAGAATAAAAGAATAAAGTAAGGTGACCCCACTTTTTATCTTTATTTTCAAAAACTATTTTGTAATTTATCTTATCCAATCTTATTCAAAAGTTCTTAGTTTTCACATATTTTTTGTAGGCCTATTCCTTAGAAATATTTGACAATAATGCACAGCTTGTAGCTTGTGTCACATTTTCAAGCATTACTGCAAAATTTGCCCTTAAAAACATTTCACTATCAATCTCAATATATTGTACAAGGTGCCATGAAATCCAACAATGAACATAGTGAAGATTTAACCGCCCCTTTTAAGACCTTCACAGGACACCTAAAAGAGTTCTTTTTTATGCAGTAAATCCCACAAATTTGGTACGGATTCCAGAAATTTTCTTTTAAGACTGAATAAAACTTTTACGATAAAACAAACTGAAGTCACCATCAGACAGGTAATGAAATGTCCTTTTATGTGTATGAGGACCTGTTACTCAGAAAGTATTTCATTGTTCTCAAATTATGAATTCGGAATAACGGATAATTCCAATTTGTATCAAACATGAACAAAAATTGGGTCTATTTTAAAACTCTGTTATGTCAAAATTGTAAAAATTAATTTAGTTTGCCTTGAAGGAACCTCCTGTCCAGTAAGTATTTTAGTTTCAATTGGTCAAAGCAAACTTCATATCATGATCATGATGTACTCATGATGTGTATTGACTAACAAATAGGCAGCACTATAACATGAAAGCCCCATCTTTAAGGGTAATATTAAATCAAATTTAATACTTTACCTTACATGTTTTCTTCAACTTTTTCTGGTAATCTTTTTCTTTATTTTCACAATTATCCTTTGAAAATATACAGATTGATGGTTAACTACAATGTGATTTCAAATCAAAAGTGACAATAAGTTTTTGGGTTTATACAGATTATGCAATATTATTGCAAAAAAAAGAAGAATGTGTCTAAGGACACGAATGCCCCCACTAAAGCTGTGCAACGAAAATGGGACAGAAGGACGGAAAGACGGAAGGTCAAGGGTTACACTTAATGCCCTTGTCGCCTACGGCCAGAGCATAAAAAAGACAAACAGATAAAAGACTACAAAACAGCCCTCGTCAGTAAACCAAAGAATGAGCAACACAACACTACCAAAAACTATGGGTGAACTCAGGTGATCTGAAACGATATACATGACGTAGAATACAAGGTGGTCAAAGATAATTGTTTTTGTCAGAAAGTACAGAATTACAATATACACAATAATGTTGACCCGTCATGTATATACAATTGCTAAGAAATATACATAATACTTAAAACTTAACCTTACTGATGAAGCAAGAGTATTAAGTCAAAATCAAAAGACATGTGTCATAAAGACATATATTCCAATCAATCCACATACCTAGTCATGTTGACCCGTCATGTTGACCCGTCATGTATAATTACTTATGTCCTCATTCTGAAAATTTGATTTGAATAAAGGGACTTGCAAATGAGGTCATGGCTTTATAAGACATGCCAAATAATAGATGCTCCTAACAACTAATACACATACCAAACATTAATGACTTTATCAATGAGGAATAAACTTAACCTGACTAATGTAGTGTGATGAGGTCATGTTAATGTCCATATGACAATTAAACAAGAATATGTGTCCATATAGGATACAATGCAATATTGAGACCCTGGCACTCACATTACCCCATTTCCATATAAAAATAAAAAAGATGTGGTCTGATTGCTAATGAGACAATTCTCCACCAAAGACCAAATGATGTAGAAGTTAACAACTATTGGTCACAGTATGGTCTTCAACAATGAGCAAAACCCATACCACATAGTAAGCTATTAAAGGCCTTGAAATGACAAATGTCAAATAAATCAAAATAGAATACTAACAGCCATATTCACATGGACATAGTTTGGTATAATATTTTATAAAAGTTCACATCATAATAAAAGTAAGTTGATGTGACTACACCTCTATTGTAAACTACTGTAAATTCAGAAATTATTCCGAGGTTTTTATTAATGCGAATAATGCGACTGTGTGAATATCGCAATAATAAGAACTCTCATTCTCATATCTAATACATAATATATATGCACACATATTTTTCCAAAATCACAATAATTAATCTCGTATTATTGTCCATTCTTCGAAAATCACACAATAATAAATGCACGAAATTATTTCTGAATTTACATTACCTTTACCAAAAACTTTTAACCTCATATATGAGACAGATGCACAGATCAGAAAACCTAATGACCCTTCTATCATAGATGGGGCATAACTACTTGAAACCAATTACATATCAAATATTACTATTTGTAACAACCCATAAAAGACCTTATTCAGAAAAGCATTTCCAACACACCAAATCTATAAAGATCAATGAACTTATATTTATCAATCTAACAGTTTGAGCATAAAAAGGAAGACAAGGCCTAATGAAATACATGTAGTTCAACTTCACAACCAATCCAGATATTTCTGACACTTTATATAATGTTACCTGAGGAACACATCTTATTCTTAACTCAACACATGAAACCTTGAAAGGGAAAATGAGTTCAAGGCCAGCTGTACTAGTCAATTTTACTTTTGTGCAATTTTTGAAAGCTCTAATTTAGGGGGATTTTTTATACAGTTCTTAAACATGTTAATTATATCAAATTTATTCACATTTCTAAAATACTTGGCAAGCTATTCCATATTTAACAAGTTCTAATTTTAAAAATTACTAAATCGTTACTTTTGAAAGTGTTTACCAATGACATATATTTTCTATATTTATAAAGTGTCTAAATAATGAAAATTCCCATTTAATTGTCGGTCAGATGTCAATCATAAGTATAATTGAATAAGCATTTAAATTAGTAATTAAACTAACTTTTTGTTTTATTGTTTATTAATAAGACTATAAAAAGTCCTATGATTAATGACCCATTTTTTGACAGGTAAATAAATAGTAACTGTACTCTTATTGTTACAAATGGATTTCCTAAGTAATGTGCAATAATGCAGAAACATACATAGATCTTGCATCTTGTATATATTTTTATGAATACACTTCCAAATGCAACAAACACCTTATGGAATTTTGTTAAATCTTCACAGAAAGCTCTAAATATATACAAATTCTTAATACAAACATAAACCATGTCAGGAATGTCCCTAATTATTGATTTTCCGAGAAAAAAAAAGTGGCCAGCAAACATGTATATAGCCATAGATTTTTTTGTATTATAACTTAAAGAGTTTTGTACAATTGCTTGTCTCTTTCCTTTCAAAAATCTTAAAATCAATCTCTTTCTGATTTTCTTTGTCATGTTTGTTTTAAAATAACACCAAAAAACTGCAAATAGGGTGCTCAAGTAGGGTACTCCCCTAAGATCACAAGGTTGCTTTTAAAAATGTCTCAGGTCACCAGGTCACTTTTAAACAAATTAGAGCAAGTCTTTTAAGTAAGGTATTAAACATTTTTATTTATAAGATTTGTAACAGTTGAATATTATTGATATAGGACCATCAGTTTCTAAGAAATGGACGAGTTGCTGTATGTGTCATTAGCAAAAAACACATATATATCTCTACTAAATTTATATTGAAAATAACATTTAAACCGGACATATGTGCATTGTACATGCATAAAATGTTTACACAAGTGTAAGAAAACAATATGACTGTCGTTATATTCATACTGCTGCCTAAAATTAAAGATCTGAATATTTTACCAGATTATTTTTTGCTTCTTTCACATGTTTCTCTCCTTCTAATACCAGCTCCAGCATCTTCATGTAGTCCTTCAAGTGATCTGAACAAAATATATATCACATGTTAATCTACATTTCAAAAAACAGACAGAATTGGTGGAATCAAAACTTATAAGTCCTATAGAGGCTGACAAAATAATGTAAAAACTCACAAGTCCTATAGAGGCTGACAAAATAACGTAAAAACTCACAAGTCCTATAGAGGCTGACAAAATAATATAAAAACTCACAAGTCCTATAGAGGCTGACAAAATAATGATAAAACTAACAAGTCCTATAGAGGCTGACAAAATAATATAAAAACTCACAAGTCCTATAGAGGCTAACAAAATAATGATAAAACTAACAAGTCCTATAGAGGCTGACAAAATAATGTAAAAACTCACAAGTCCTATAGAGGCTGACAAAATAATGTAAAAACTCACAAGTCCTATAGAGGCTGACAAAATAATGTAAAAACTCACAAGTCCTATAGAGGCTGACAAAATAATGTAAAAACTCACAAGTCCTATAGAGGCTGACAAAATAATGTAAAAACTCACAAGTCCTATAGAGGCTGACAAAATAATGTAAAAACTCACAAGTCCTATAGAGGCTGACAAAATAATATAAAAACTCACAAGTCCTATAGAGGCTAACAAAATAATGATAAAACTAACAAGTCCTATAGAGGCTGACAAAATAATGTAAAACCTCACGTCCTATAGAGGCTGACAAAATAATGTAAAAACTCACAAGTCCTATAGAGGCTGACAAAATAATGTAAAAACAAATAAGACCTACAACAACACTTCATAAAAAACTAAACATTTTGTTTACCTTATTGAATAATGGAATAATGTCGGCAAGGACACAGTACAGACAAGTGATCGGCCAAAACACAGCTTAATCATGCCCCTCCCCCTCCATTTCTATTCCACATTGTTCTGTTATCTTTCACTAGTAACTTTTGTGTATGAAAATGAAATGTTTTGTGGATTATTTGTATTAAGGACAGTTGTACAAAAGGTTTAGTCTGTATGGTTTATCTGAATCATCTTCTAAATATCACAATATTTATATATGCATCAAAATGGTTGAGGAAATCTTTTCGTGAAATTAATTAATTTAAACATATATATAAAACTCACCATTAAATTCCCTTTGAGCTTCAGTCCATTGAAGATTTAACTCTGATATATGATTACAAACATCCTAAAATTCAAAAGTTGAAGTCTATTCATGTTTCTTTATCAATTGTAATTATAATTTGATATGGTTAACTATGTTTTTTTTAATAATGCTAGTAAAGTTTTCCATATATTTTGCATAAATTATTTTCTAATGTATAGAAAGTCTAATGATACAGCTGACATTAACAGAAAAACAAGAAGGACGAAATGAAAAATAGCTATCATGTTCTTGCTTGGTACACACACTTTTTTATTAGAAATTAGTGAATTAAACAAAGGTGTTAACAGTGCAAAGTATCTTGCATGACCTGTTCAACACCTTTACCTATTCAAATTTATCTTTGCCGATTTCTCAGCCAAAATTCATAACAAATACAAAATAAATAAGTGAACCTTAAATAAACAAATTCCTAACAAGTCGTGGTTCAGGCTAGGGGAAAAGTATAAAGTTTCCATAATATCAAGTACATGTATACTATTAAAACAAAACGGTCAATCACTCAAATTGGATGGTGAGAATATTTTTTTATTACACTGCAACAAACCTTTCAATAACAATGGCATAATTTTTTTTCACAAATTAATCAGTTTAGAGATATCTATAATTTTTTTTTAAATGCAACTTTGAAAACATTTATATTGGCTATAGCCTATTGGTATTATGAAGGGACAAACCTTTTTGCAATATGGGACAGTAATATACATTTTGTACATTGTACATGTTGTACAAATGTATCTCAATTAGATATGAACAGTAAACTATTTTACCTGTATTGCCCTGTTTTCTTCATTAGCTGACCATCTTAACATGTCTTGTGATGCTAAAATAAAGTTATTTTGATATTTTATTTAGATGAAATATACATGCAGGGTGACATCTACCATTTAGGCAGATCTGATTTTGCTTGAAAACTGCCTTTCCTTTAAACTCGTTGATATTTTATATATATTTTACAATCAAGAAAATTTTACTATTATAGTGATTATGCATTGTCAAACTAGCTCCTGAAAATTGTTGATTTTATACTGAACATCAAATTCTTTATTTTGATCTCTACATTGTGCTGTTGAAAGAAAAATGCTTCTTGTACTGTTAAAATATTTCTCGACATGGTCCGACCAGAAATTTTTAGAAATTAAATACAAATACCAATACATACATGTACATGTACATGTATACATAAATAAACAAAAAAAAATGATGGATGTGTTAAAACACATTTTCCAATTTTCTGCTTATACTTGGCAGTATTTTATAAGATTAAACATTTTCACGATCAGTGGTGTTTCTGATACTGTTAGTAATATACTACATTTGTAACATACTGGAATGATTTTATAATATCATAGACTTAGTAGAAGGTTGATATATTTCTTACAAAACCACATCAAACATGTACTTGCTTCACTTAAACCATTGTGGTGACGTCAGCCTATTCATTTACCGTGGATTCTTTTTCTAGAATCAACGCTTCCTAAATCTGCCGCTGAAATGGACTCACCAAATTATATTCAATTGTTTCCTTTGTGTGTCTAATTTCATTAAGTTTGAAATGGCTAATTTACTGATTTCTGTTCACTAATGGAATTAATTTAAAAACTTAACTTTATTTTTTGTAATTTGTATATGCCCTCACTGGGAATCGAACCCTTCCTTGAAATCTATTATGAATGACTGACATCAACACATCGACGAAACCTCTCGGCTACCAATGGGTTACAACTTAGATGTCTATTATATATATATAAATGTACAACGATCACACAGGGGTTGTACCTTTATATATACACAATGGGCAGTCGTATAGTATAAGTTGGTAGCCGCGAGGTTAGCATGCTTAAAATCAACGAGTTAAAAGATAGGGACTTGTCGGTTTAGGTTTGAATCCCTGTATTATCTCTGTTCTCCCTATTCTGTTTTTTTTTCTAATTTTGCATGTTATAGTGGATATTTTTGTAATAATAGTGATTTTTATCGTTTATTTTTTGAATGATTATTGGCTATTTCACATGTTTGAAACAAAAATGATTACATTCTATTTGTCAATTTTTGTTGTATAAATTAGTATGATTTCATCTGTTTTACTGCATAATTTTACAAATGTTTGTTCGCAAATTCCTATGCGAGAAAATCGTGATGTGCCTAGAGTGCTAGAAATTTCGGTAACATTCTTATTATATATACTTTATATATGCTCTTTGGTCGGGTTGTTGTCTCTTTGACACATTCCCCATTTCCATTCTCAATTTTATTAGAAATAAGTTCGAATTTGTCTTATTTTGTAAAAATAGATAATATTCAGATGCCTGATAATATAAAGATCTTTAAAGGTAGAAGTGTAATATTTGTATTTTGTTAACCAATTAATTGTGATCTGAGATTTATCAATGCATCGTTGGACACGATAACATGGTTATTTAAACTCTCTTACAATACCTTCTAATTAGGAAAAGGCTTTAATTTTGAAAAGAAATTAACACAATAGTTTAAGTTATAGATACAATGGATAAGCGTAGATTCATGAAAAACAAACCATTCGCCCTCCGGGCTCATGGTTTCTTTTTCAAGAATCCACGCTTATCCATTGTATCTATATACTTAACACATTGTTATACTAGTAACTCAAAAGTTTTCAGCAGTTAAAATGGCAATTATTGAATTTTTTTTGTAACAGATATTTTTAAAACTATTGAAATAAAGAGCCAATTGTGAAATCTATGGTTTTCCAAGGCCATCAATATTTACTATTATGTAAATATGGACCATAACAATGGCTTTTTGTATATCTAATTTATGTTTAAAAATCTCTTATCTGTTGGTAAAGTAAGAAAGTATGAAAACAAGTAAAAATCATTTATTTTCACCAAATTTTAACACTTTTGCAGTTCTATTTCCAATATACATTTGTACATGTAACAGAATGTCTTAACGTCACTCTGATTAGAACCTTTGATTTCCTGGGTTTTTCCTATAACCTAATGGGAGTATTTTACATAGTAACAGGGTTCTTTTACAATTATGAAGGTCATGTAACGGTAAATCTTAGGATTAGATTTAAGAAAATCCTATAATCTTATTAGAGAGGTGGTACATCCTGAAGCAATTCTTTTAATCCTAGTGACCCATCATTCCATCCTTAAGCCTTTTAATCCTAGTGACCCATCATTCAGACATTTAAATGAAAATAACACTTTATAATTTTGTGCAGCTGAAGTGCTTTTCTAGATTTACCTTCATCAGAAACGCTAAAAACTTTAACATTTGAAAGGCAGGAATGTATAAGTACCTAGAAATATTCTTAATTTTCACATACATGTACTAGTACTTTTTGCAGGCATAATCCTCACAAATATTTGAAAATAGGGCCAATTTTAAAAGAGCTTTGTTGATACAAGGTTGATGCTTAAGCATACAAAATCTACATTTGTACACCACTGCATATATGCATATACAGAAAACACAGAAGAAAATACAAAAACATATTTACCAGAAGTTTCAGCATTTATTTGTGATTTGACAGAATTTCGTAAATTTTTCACTTCTGAGATCATAACATTCATATCGGAATTAGTTCCATCTCCAAGACTGGACAGTAACTTTGTTCCACTTCTGTAAATAAATAATGATTTTGTTGTGTTTGTAGAAAATAAATAAATAAATCTACCTATAAATAAGATAGTAGGTAAAGTGTTGGATGTTAGTTATTTTCTCAAATTTCATTTGATCAAATGTAAATCATTGCTACAGGTTGTCTCCACCTCGCCATAAGATATGACCTTTGAAGTCATCACTTGGACCTTCCAGAAACTAACAAGATGAAGAACAGCAGTTAAGGTTCAGAAACTTTTTTTTCACAAAAAAACTATGGTAAGGATTAAAATTGAAGTTATACTGAAATAAGCACATGTACTTACAAGTCTGTATTTTGGGCTTGCTAGGACACTGCAAGATGTTTTACTTATATTAAAGACTTTTTGTGAAAAGAGCCACTTTTTGTACATATAAGATATCTTCTGGTTATTTTATTAGAATTTGTTTTGTATGCACTCACATTGTGTCTTACATCTTTTCTTTTTAAAAATACAGACAATATGTGAAACTAGGCAAAGAAAAACCATCTGCTTTATGTGCACATTGTTAATTATCTGTGGGCAAAGCTGTAGATTGTTCAAAGTTATACAATGTATGTAGTCACAGGCAGTAGATCTATGAAATTCTTTTGGAATTGTTTGTTTTTGCTTTAAAATTGGGTGTCAGATTGTCCATGTTAACATCACAATACATGTACATGTAAAATGTATCACAAATGAGTGAGTCTGTTAACATTGTTATTTAGACACATCATGTATCTTTTGTTTTTTTTTTGTCCCTAGGTTGCTGTCTCATAAAATATACCCAAAATGTAATTTTATTTGATCCCAAATTTTAAAATTAGTTTATAACAATTCAGTAAAGTAGTCAATATAGTACAATGTATGCACTTCCATGGTCAGACTGAGTCTCATTCTACATTTGAACCATTGTTTCATTCTCAGCAGGAAGACCCTAATTAGGTGATCATTAAGTTTTTTAAACATAGAAAGAACAATTGTTGCTGTGCACTGCATGTGATAAAATCTTCACAGGAAATATATTTCTTTTAAATGGAGATTAAGTTATGGTTTTGTGTGTGAAAAAATAGTATTAATCTTCACTATACATGCTATAGGGATGATTTAAATTCTACAATGCCTTTTATTTCCTGTAGTAAACAATACAGAAATCTTATAAAATTCCACAATAAACAACTTATTAAAGCATCTACCAAGTTTGATTCCTGTATAATAAAGTCTGCATGCATAAATGATCATTTTCATTTACCAATACCATCAAATTTAGTTTTTTTCTAATAATTTCAATACAATGTAATTCAAATTTTCTCAGCTCCAAAATACTATAATCCTATAAGTTGAAATTTTGGCTTTAATAGTGATTGTTCTAAAATTTAAAAAAATCTTTAGATTAGGCAGTGTTAGCAGAAACAGAGATGTTTCCTTGGCCAAAAAGTTATTTGAAAGGCAACGAAAGGCCAGGCTTCACCACTTTTTGTGGCGTAATTTACTAATTTTTAAATTATTTAATTCCACCAAGCAATATTATCAATTGGAAATTCTTCATATATATATATATATATATATATATATATATATATATCTTTATTCTCATAAACCAATGTACAATGGTACAGAGACACATACAAATAAATTAACATACATAATATAAAATGTAAGTACAAATGTAAAGTAGAGACATAAAGTGGTTACCCAGGAGATTCTAGGCATTTAATAATTATTGTATAAATTTGCACAGTTTGTTTAGTTCAGACGGGTTGTTGCTATTCATAAGATCTTGAAATTTTAAAATATTTGGTCTGTTTACAAAATGATGCTTTAACAGTGTTTGTCTACTTTCATCTATTGCCCAACATTCTAAAACATAATGAAACTCGTCGCCAATATTACCAGTATTACATAAAGGACAAATACGATTTTCTCTCTGAATATTTTGCCATCTACCAACTTCAATAGGTATTTTTGTGTTTAAAGTTCTAAATCTACAAAAAGAAGCAATAATTTTGTCATCTAGAATGTGAAAGTAGGTTTCAAAATTTAGACTGTTTTTGAATAATTTATAATTTAGAGCTTTTGGAGAGTTCTGTAAAGTAGCATACCATGTCTGTCTGAACTGGTCAGTTAATCTTAATTTAACAGTATCATACAACCAGTTTTTACTGATAAAATAATTAGTGTTCCATATATTTGATAGTCCACAATTATCAAGCACAAATTTTACATTCTTACACCAAGCTATGTTTCCATTGTGTAACTATCAGTAACAAGATTGTATATACATGTATAGAATAACAGGAAGTTTCTTTTTTTTCTCTGGTTACAAGCTTTGCCTAATAATTAATAGTTCGTAATTTGATAAAAATATCCAGTGGGAATCGACAAAGTTCCGCATATATCATGAAGTCAGGAGTCGCTTTTTTTTAGATTAAGCAGTAGTTTACAAAATTTAAGGTACACATGTTCTATGACAGAGGTGTTGCCCATTCCCCAGACTTCAAATCCTTACAGTAATATTGGCTTAACTACTTTGTCAAATAATTCTAGTTGACATTTAATGTTCAAATTATGTTATCTCCCCTTTTTCAAAATATTGTACATAGCCCTTGTTGCTTTCTCAGCTTGTGACTTTTTCGCTTTTGTGAAACTTCCTGTTCTTGAAAATAGTACACCAAGATATGTAAATTCTTCAACAATATCTAACACAATATCAGCATATTTAAAAATAACTGTAGTGGTCTACCTTTAGAAAAAATTATGATTTTGCTCTTTTTGACATTGACTTTCAATTTCGATTTATCACAATATTCTTTTAAAGCGTCTAATTGTATTTGTAGATCTGCTTGTGTTTCTGACAAAAGTACAGTTTCGTCTGTGTACAATATAACAAACAGTTTTAAATACATATTTAGCTTGCTCTCTATTTGATCTGATAAGGATTTCAAACCATTTATATTTTTGTTCTGAAAAAATCTTTCCAAATCATTTAGATAAATATAGAAAGGTAAAGGAGATAAATTTTCCCCTTGTCATAGACCTACATTACATGGAAAGTAATCTGAATATTCACCATCACCATCACTGAAAATTTGTGATTTGACATTTTTATACATGTTAAATGTAGTATTATACATCTTCCCATTCACTGTATGTAAAAGGAGTTTTGACCAAAGACCACATCTCCAAACTGTATTGAATGCTTTAGCAAAATCAATAAAAGTTTTTTTTCAAATAATTCACATCAAGTCAAATAATTTCATTATAAACACTAATTGATTGTGTTCTTAATTTTCTGAGAAATTGATTATGTTCATATTTTTGAAAGAAATTATATAATCAAAAGTAAGTCTTATGAAAATAAATTTTGGAACCCCCCCCTTTTTTTTGACAATCAATGCATTTGAACGGGGACATATAGTTGGAACCCCCCTTTTTATCCTGGGTTAAGGAACCCCCCCCCCTTTTTATAAATGGCTGGATCCGCCCCTGAAGATCATGAAGATGTAACCAAAACTAGTCATAGATGCATCAGATCAAGGATTTGTATAGTGAGAATCTCACTATACAAATCCTTGTTAAGATATTTGTCAAATCTAGTTGACTCTAATTTGAGTTAATATACTTGTACACAATGTAGCTACATTGTGTATATATGAGTAAGTTTATTATTTGTCAAAAAATCTGACACTACATACATAAATTTCCCAAATGGGATTACCCCCCCCCCCCCCCTTTTTCCCTTTTCCCCGGTCCCCTTTCACTACATAACACAATCATGGGACATAATAGTATACTATTCCGAGACATGAGCAAATACTTTCGCATGTAAAGAGACTATACACATTATTATCAGACAACAATAAGATGCTGACAGTGACACTGCCAGTTACCCCCTTTGCAATGTTACATTTGTTTTGCTAAATATTTTATCATTACGGTGAATTAGATGTAAAGAAATCAAACATGTATACCTTCTAATAGCACGGGATGCTTTTTCCATTATTATTCCTTGAACAAGATTCCACAGTTATCAAGATCATCAATGCATTGCTATTTTAGGAATTGTCAATTTCAAAATTTCACCGCCCGCCCGGAAATGACAGAATTACAAAAATTCAAATTTTATCAGCTCCAGAATAATATAATCCTATCAGTGAAATTTAATGTTTATTCTAATGTGTTGGTTGTTTCCTACAAGTATGTATGTTAATTTAAATATAGTACAGTCGAAACATTGTTTGGTCATTGTATTTTTTGGCGCGTTGTTTATATTTACATTTCGGGCACCTGTTTGTGGGCGGAGTTACTTAGCAAGGGAAGTAATAAAACTCCCGCCAAATACTTCTAACACAAAAGTGATCAAAAGTTGTAAATTAAGAATTTTGTCCCAACTTTATATGAACTAGAAATTAAGCTTAACCTCGGTATATTTGATCTTATGACTTCTTGTTATTAATTTGCAACACTAATTGTAACATCTGATATATATATATATATATATATATAGATTGCCTAACAATGTAATTTTAACACACTATTTAGTATGTAAATATAAGAATGTTTAAAATATTTACAAAATGATGAAAATAAACGCAATATTTCGCTAGACTAACTAGCTTTATCAAGCGTGCATCTATCCAGGTGAAATCGGATGTAGATGATAAGAAACTTTTGCAGCTCAATGTATATGTTGCACTTGAATTTAGCTGCCTTGAAAATAATACATAATTTGGATGAAGTTCAAGATTTTTACAAAATTGGTAGTTGAAGTTAGCAACGTCCATTGGCCAATATTACAGGATAAAAAGGACGATGCTGTGTACTAAATTATTCTTTATCTTTCCTGTATCTTTTCTCATCTTTTTCGTTAAGACCATCAGGTTCTAAAGTGTGGAGTTGGTGGATCCAAAAATTTTCTCTTCTCCTTCTCTCCGTGGTGTCCCACTCGGTGTTGACTTCTATGATTTGGAAGGTAACATTATCAAAAGAATGTTTCGTTGAACGAAGATGTCTTGTGAGAGGACAGTTTTTGTTGGTTTTGTACCATGAACGATGGTTATTGAGCCGAATATTAAATTTGTCCATTGTTTCTCCCACATACTGAATGCCACATGTGTCACATGTTAATATATAAATTGAGTTCTCCGTTTTACAGTTGGAATTTGAGTAGATGGTATAATTTTGTTTAGTAACGGAGCTGATGAAAGAACTGCTTGTATTGGCAGCTTTACAACACAAGCAGTTCCTTCGACCACATTGTTTGTAGCAACCGGGAGATGGAGTAGGCTGCTTTGCTAATACAGATGTCACTAATTTGTCACGGATGTTTTTAGGTCTTCTGAAGGCCATGACTGGTGGTGAGGAAAATACTTTTTTAAGATTTGAATCATTTTCTATAATTTTCCAATGCTTCTGAACAATGGAAGACACATTTTTAAAATCAGGATGGTAAGTGAGTACAAGGGGTGTTCTGTTAGCTGCTTTATTCTTATCTTTATACTCTAGAAGTTCTTGGCGACTAGTTTTGTTTGCTCTTTCGAAAGCGCTATCAATGATGTTGTTATTGTATCCTCGAACAACTAGATGTTTACGTAGTTGTCCTAGTCTAGCATTTTGCGTATTTTCAGTAGAGCATATTCTCTTGATTCGCAATGCCTGGCTGAATGGGATGCCACGGGAGCAGTGTTTAGGATGGCAACTTTTAGGAGAAAGGAATTGATGTTTGTCCGTTTGTTTGGTATGAAGGTCCGTTATAATGGTTCCGTTCTTGATGTAACTCGTAGTGTCGAGGAAGTTTATTTTCTCCATAGATGATTCATATGTAAATTTTATTGAATGGTGGAAAGAGTTACAGTGTCCTAGAAATTCATAAAGATGTTCTTGTGAATCTGTCCATTTGAAATCAATATCGTCAATGAATCGGAACCATGATAAGGGCTGGTATGGAGCACTAGCCAAGAGGCGTTTTTCAAGTTGGCCCATAAATATGTTGGCATATGACGGGGCCATTTTTGTGCCCATACTAGTACCGTCTATCTGGAGATAATGTTTTTCATTGAAAGAGAAGTTTCAATGAAAAACATTATCTCCAGATAGACGGTACTAGTATGGGCACAAAAATGGCCCCGTCATATGCCAACATATTTATGGGCCAACTTGAAAAACGCCTCTTGGCTAGTGCTCCATACCAGCCCTTATCATGGTTCCGATTCATTGACGATATTGATTTCAAATGGACAGATTCACAAGAACATCTTTATGAATTTCTAGGACACTGTAACTCTTTCCACCATTCAATAAAATTTACATATGAATCATCTATGGAGAAAATAAACTTCCTCGACACTACGAGTTACATCAAAAACGGAACCATTATAACGGACCTTCATACCAAACAAACGGACAAACATCAATTCCTTTCTCCTAAAAGTTGCCATCCTAAACACTGCTCCCGTGGCATCCCATTCAGCCAGGCATTGCGAATCAAGAGAATATGCTCTACTGAAAATACGCAAAATGCTAGACTAGGACAACTACGTAAACATCTAGTTGTTCGAGGATACAATAACAACATCATTGATAGCGCTTTCGAAAGAGCAAACAAAACTAGTCGCCAAGAACTTCTAGAGTATAAAGATAAGAATAAAGCAGCTAACAGAACACCCCTTGTACTCACTTACCATCCTGATTTTAAAAATGTGTCTTCCATTGTTCAGAAGCATTGGAAAATTATAGAAAATGATTCAAATCTTAAAAAAGTATTTTCCTCACCACCAGTCATGGCCTTCAGAAGACCTAAAAACATCCGTGACAAATTAGTGACATCTGTATTAGCAAAGCAGCCTACTCCATCTCCCGGTTGCTACAAACAATGTGGTCGAAGGAACTGCTTGTGTTGTAAAGCTGCCAATACAAGCAGTTCTTTCATCAGCTCCGTTACTAAACAAAATTATACCATCTACTCAAATTCCAACTGTAAAACGGAGAACTCAATTTATATATTAACATGTGACACATGTGGCATTCAGTATGTGGGAGAAACAATGGACAAATTTAATATTCGGCTCAATAACCATCGTTCATGGTACAAAACCAACAAAAACTGTCCTCTCACAAGACATCTTCGTTCAACGAAACATTCTTTTGATAATGTTACCTTCCAAATCATAGAAGTCAACACCGAGTGGGACACCACGGAGAGAAGGAGAAGAGAAAATTTTTGGATCCACCAACTCCACACTTTAGAACCTGATGGTCTTAACGAAAAAGATGAGAAAAGATACAGGAAAGATAAAGAATAATTTAGTACACAGCATCGTCCTTTTTATCCTGTAATATTGGCCAATGGACGTTGCTAACTTCAACTACCAATTTTGTAAAAATCTTGAACTTCATCCAAATTATGTATTATTTTCAAGGCAGCTAAATTCAAGTGCAACATATACATTGAGCTGCAAAAGTTTCTTATCATCTACATCCGATTTCACCTGGATAGATGCACGCTTGATAAAGCTAGTTAGTCTAGCGAAATATTGCGTTTATTTTCATCATTTTGTAAATATTTTAAACATTCTTATATTTACATACTAAATAGTGTGTTAAAATTACATTGTTAGGCAATCTATAATTTTATTTGTGTAATTGAATTAATCTCTGTACTGATTAATCCACACTCCCATAGATTTGTGTGTCATGTGCTGCTATTTATAGGCACTTATATATATATATATATATATAAAAGGGTATAATCATTGCATGAGAGTTTTTGACTGAGATAATCTTTTGATCAAGAAAAACAAAAGACTTTTAACCTTATTGTGAGTGTCATATGCCAATCAATGGGAAACCCATTTTTGTACAGTGAATTAAAGCTGTTTAGTCATTTAAACATAAATAATCGTATTGTAAAAATCAAAGCAAAATTAAATATAAAGATTACACAGATTAGCTAAAACAAACTGATTTCCCACGCTTTTATTAAAGCAAGGCGGGAAAGAAAAGATTGTTTCAGTATATATATGTTCACCAAGCGAAGAATTCCTTATACTAGTATTACTCCATTATTAAATTTCTAGCGAGTTGGCATATGTATTATTCTGTTGTATTTTTTACACTATTAAAAAAATTAAAGTATCACTCTAGACCCAAATCATACACAATGAATGCCTCTCAGGCCAAAAATCAGATGGTTTAACAATGTGATTTTTTAAGTTGAACGGGAATGTGGCTTTAATCTTTGTTGAATCGGCCTTATTTTGTATGAGCATGATATTGCTGTCAATGCTAGTTTTCGGTGTCGAAGATCAAACACAAATCCAATTTAAATTGAGAATTTACCGTATTTCACCCAAGGAGAAATATAAATACCTATCAATTTGTCTTTAAATTAAGACGCTATTTTGTGCTATTTAAGCACTCAACCGACATAATATATGCATGGTATGCATATAAAAAAATATTCAATTGCATATTCGATCTCTATATAAAAAATTCGCTGATCACAAAACTGTAGGATAATATATTTAAACTATTAAGCGGAACAAAAAACAACACAAACCCTGGTTTTGTTCCAAAATTTAAGTTTTAAAATTGGTATATAGAGAAACAGTGCATAAAACATATTAAATGGCACACTCAGAAACAATATAAGCTAGCAGTAAGAAAAGAGGTATACAATAGCTTACAAAATAATTAGTAGGTCGTAATTTTGACCTGTATTCTCTTTCAAACTATTTGTAAATATATATAACTTTTAATTAATATATAGTACACGTTAAAAAGCAGATTCTTGGCACGCATGTTGTAAGATCTAACACCTACGTAATATAAAAAAAAACCAAGGAGCTGTGGTATATTTTCCAATGAAACAACTATCCAATAGAGTTCAAATGACATGGATATAAGCACCTGAATTTCACCATACGGTCTTCGACAATGAGCAAAACTCATACCCTTTAGTAAGCTATTAAAGGCCCCATCATGACAAATGTGAAACAATTCAAACGAGAAAACCAACGGCCTGATTTATATAAGAAATACTAGTTTAAACAATAAGCTTATATGACAGACAGGGGCCGACGACAAACCATTAAATTACAGACTCTTGACTTTGGACAGACGCGTAAAGAATGAGACAGGGTTAAACGTTTTCTGAGCGCTCACCAATTCTAGCCTTGGTCATAGGTGTAACAGCATTGTGATAAAGTGGTATTTTGGTATATTTTTATAAAATCAATGGTAATACCGTTAAGAAAAGGGATTTCCAGATCTCATCACG